TAGACATTTACCACAACGTGATAGGCATTCGCCACAACGTGATAGGCATTTACCACAACATGATAGGCATTTACCACAAGGTGATAGGCATTTACCACGTGATAGGCATTCACCAGTACATGATAGGCATTCGCCATTACATGATAGGCATTCGGCAGAACGTGATAGGCATTTACCACAAAGTGATAGGCATTTACCACAAAGTGATAGGCATTTACCACAACGTGATAGGCATTCAACATTACATGATAGGCATTCGCCACAACGTGATAGGCATTTACCACAACGTGATACACCGTGATCGGCATTTGCCACAACGTGATAGGCATTTACCACAACGTGATGGCATTTACCACAAAGTGATAAGCATTTACCACAACGTGATAGGCATTTACCACAACGTGATAGGCATTCGCCACAACGTGATAGGCATTTGCCACAACGTGATAGGCATTTGCCACAACGTGATAGGTATTTACCACAACGTGATAGGCATTTACCACAACGTGATAGGCATTCAACATTACATGATAGGCATTCGCCACAACGTGATAGGCATTTACCACAACGTGATACACCGTGATAGGCATTTGCCACAACGTGATAGGCATTTACCACAACGTGATGGCATTCACCACAGCGTGATAGGCATTTATCACAACGTGGTAGGCATTTACTACAACGTGGTAGGCATTTACCACAACGTGATAGGCATTCGCCACAACGTGATAGGCATTTACCACAACGTGGTAGGTATTCGCCATTTCATGATAGGCATTCAACGTGGTAGGCATTCACCATAACGTGATAGGCATAGTGACTGCATTGTCGCTGCGGGCGTGTGTCGGATTGTTTTCAGATCTATTGCGCATGCGCGTTTATATTTTCCGTTTTGCCGCGAGGTTCGGTTTTTGATTGTGATCGACTCGGGATTGTGATAACAATATGGATGGAATTTTAACTGAATTGTCGTTGGGAACCTTGGCCCAAGACTTCAGAGAAGAAAGAATCGAACCCTCACTTGTATCTACCATGACGGATGCGCAGTTAATGCGACTTGGTGTGTCTCGGCTCGGTGATCGTATTCGTCTGAAGGAATCCTGTCTTAATAGTTCTTCAACTTCTATTTATACCGGTACTAGTTCTTCACGGGCCAGTGCTCCCGTTGGCGTAAACAGAATTCGGCATGAACGCGAATTTCTTTTTAATCCGCGACGATTGGGGCGTGGAACCCGGAGAAGGTGTTTCAATGTCGATCCGGGAAGTGGCCGAAGAGGCAAGCGTAGGGGGTTTTCGGTTAACTGCGTGTGTCTTGCCGACCGTTTTGCTAAGAAAGTGCCCACAACTACCGAAAAACAAATTCTGTATAGAGCTGGTCTTGGTTACAAAAAAATACAGTTTACCGTAGACGACACTGAAGAGGACGTAATAGACAAACTAATGCTCCAGTCAATGTCAACCCCCACCCTCCCCACCTCAGGGTTTAGTGGGGGATTTGGAAATTATTGTTGTAAAATTTGCCAAATGCCCCACCTCCTGGGGCAAGATGGATAGGCAAATCCCCACCCAAAACAAACCCCCACAATTCCCCAACCCTAAACCCTGAGGAACGCCACTGTCCGCCATGCTTGCTATCAGCAGAGTACTAGCGATGCTAGGGATGACGGGACACGAAACATGGCTATTACCCCACCTCCACGGGCACAGTTTGGCGGTAAACCCTGTCTCATGCCCCACATTTGTCCCATATCGCCCGAGGTGGGAGGGGTCGGGGTTGACATTGACTGGAGCATAACTGCGAATGATTCAGGGTTCAGTGCACTGAAAAACTGTGGTGGATTCGAGATTCTGCAGTGTATTGGAAAATGCCGCGATTTGTCTGAAGTAAATGGTA